AAAAGTACCATAATTTTCTTATCCAATCCTCGGTGGATGGACATTTGGGTTGCTTCCACATTTTAGCAATTACAAATTGTGCTGCTATGAACATAGGTGTACATATATCACTGTGATATGATGTTTTTAGATCTTCTGGGAAAATACCCAGCAGGGGGATAGCTGGGTTGAATGGGACCTCTAAACGGCCTCCGAAGAATTTTAAGGACTGAAAATAAAATGGCAGGATGGATGTGGGCCATTGGGAACAAGGAATTTTTTTCCTTATGAATAGGGGACTAAGGTTAGGTTGAATGCTGTTTCCTAAATGGAGTTGATACAGCAGAGAGTTTTGACGGGCATTTAAGTCTCTCCTACAGTACCTCCTCCTCACACAAAAAAGCAAACACTATATTATTCTAAGGAATCCCTTACTCTCTGTCTTTTGTTTGAGCATAGGACCACAGTACTAAATGTTTCATTGTTTGAGAGAAAATTCAGTTTTAAATTTCATAGCTGATGATACTAAAGTACTAGGATGGTCCCACAAGAGGTAGGGGGCAAGGCGAGGGGATTTCTATGAGACAAGCAAGTAGAGTGTCCTAATGGTGCATATAAATCTTGTTCATGTATTCTGTGCACATTTGCTGAATATATGAGTGAAAGTGATATAAAGGTAAGGGTGCTGAGTAACACAGGCTTTTAAAAAATAAACTCGTTCTTTTGTGGCATTAGTAATTTTTCCAAAGCTAGGTGACAGAGCTATTTATTCTCTCAGCAGAGAACATTAGTCTACAGAGAATCACAAACACTGAGGCAGAGCTTGGGTAATTCAGTTGGAGACCATGACTTCTCAGGACTTTAGACTCCTCGAGCTGGTTTCGTATGGGTGTTAACGTGTGGATCAAGCAACGTTTAAACACAACAAGAACGGAATTGAACGGCATGTTCTCAAAATACTTAAAAATAACCTGAGGTTTTGTCTGTGGTTCAGTGTATGACAGCCACTGCTATCCCTTTAAACTTCAAGCCTGGAGATTGCTGCAGCTTTTAAGATTTCCAGCTCTAAAAATCTCGTGTTACCTCTCCTCTTTGCACTTAGGGCCAGCCCGTCCAACATGTTCCCCACACTGTCTGTCCTGAGTCTGTCAGCCCAATGCGGGGCTCTAACCTCTGTCATTACTTGCCTCCTGCCTCCTTTTTCCTACTCATCCATTTGATGCAACTTAAAGCCCCTCGGCCTTTCGGTTTCTCTGTGTGACTAGCTGAAGGCTTTGTCCTGGATGACACCTTCACGCCTGACCTTGGTCCTGTTAATGTCACCTCCTTCTTCGGACGTGGGAGTGAACAGTGACGGGACCAGGTGTATGCAGTCTAAGCTTTAGGACGTTTATCTTTCAGATTGGGGGACCTAATCTGGAATAGTTTAGTGTACCTACTGTAAGGTTTGGACAACTGTGGGCCAAACAAACAGAGAAATAGCTCTTGGGGCGAGGAAAGGCACACAGACCAGTGAAAGTGTGATTACCTGAAGCACCTCTGGGCTGCCACAAATTTTTATTACATGCTTGCTACACAGACAGTCTTATTCCAGAGGCAGGAGACAGAGAAGGTGACAGGAACAGCTATATGCACGCCCCAGAGGGGTTCATACTCTAGCAGAAGACCCATCATGCTACAGGTTAGGCAGAGAATCAATGAACTTATCCAGATGGGACCTTGCTCAGTTCTTATAGAATGTTATACTGACAATTTTCCTATTTATTTTTCAGAAATATGACTCATATTAAGTATTCAAAGAGTCTATAGTTTCAATGATTTCTTTCCTGTTCTCTGCCTCTCTTTTTAGAGGCATTTTAGGAAAAAGTCAATGTTAAGGTACAATCTGTAATCCTTTATCAATTTCTATGAATATTTAAAGCCTCTCAAGCCTGATACGGAGGCATATGCCTGTACTCTCAGCACTTGGGAAGCTAAGGAAGGAGGATCATAAGTTCAAGGCTCTCCTGGCAGAACCCAAGCTCAGAACCAATGAGCAAAAACCAAAACCAAAATAAAACCTCACAACCTTTGGACCGAGTAGTATGTGTCTTAAGATTTCTTGTTTCTCAGGGACCACCTATGGGTCTATTATGAGAAATTTCATTTCAACTGCAGGTGGTTTCAGGGCGCTGTTTGTGTTTTTCAAATTATTTTCAGGGATAGAATTAGGCTTTATTTTGCCAGATGCAAGGTCCTTGCTTTTGGTACATGGAGAAATCCTTGGATCTGTTTTTTCACCCATTAGCTGCAAACTAGAGAAATATTGTTGTGACCTCTTCCTGGGTTGCCAGGCAGTGCGGTTTTGTGTATAGTAGGGACATCGCACATAGCTCCGAGCCAATGGAGAATAATTGAGCATATCTGCCTGGAGAAATGTTTTGAGATAGACTCTGAGACTCACTCTGTGGCTCATCAAAAAGAAAACTATGATAAGTGAGATCTTCTGTGGGCAAGGAAAGGGGAACTTGTACTGTAGAAGCCAGGAATTTTCTAGTCTGTATGCAGTGCCTACCTAGGAATGCCTTAATCTTGTGGCTTTAGTCTTAGTATCTGAAGGGACATATTTTTAAACAAAACATTATATTCTAAATGTGTGAAATCAGCATAGGCAATATATGCCCTATTTAGACCTCTGAATATATAATGCACATACTTTTGTTTAAAGTATCTTTATGATTTTACTGTTCCCTACGATATGCTTTATAACCTACAATGTATGTTTGAGTGCCTTTGATGTTAGGATAAAGTTATTAGAACATACTGCATGTTTTGTGTGTGTGTCTACGATCATGGACAAGGTCATAAGGTAAAAGGTGCTTCTTACAGGTCCTGGTAAATATAGTTAGAGTGTCACCTTTCAGACCGCATCTCTTTGTAATCAGAGCCTTGGCGGGAGAGAAGCATCACTGTTTCCTCTTCGCTGACTTGGCAGGTATCTTCAGTCGAGATCCTATCAAATCCATGTCTGTTTCAACTGTTCAAGTTCAGCGTGGGAAGGCACGAAGCCGAGCAGGAGCGGTAATCACAGCTGGCTCCACACACACGAGAATAAGACGGAAGATGCAGTCTACACTCAGCAGCGTGGCACAGATGCCCAAGTGGGATGGCTTCGCAAGCACGTGGGCTGTGTCCCCCTCCTTTGTGCCCAGTGACTGGTGAAATGCCCTAGTTTCCATCCTCAGAGAAAACTGCACTCTGTCTGCTTCTCAGAAATTAAAGAATAAAAATCTGTCTCTCTACCTGACCCGCACCCGCCTCTTCCCCGATTTCTTAGACCACACAAACAACTAATTTCCTAGTCACGTGAGACTTGAACTGAAAGGGAAAAACTGTACAGGAGAAATTGTTCATTCTAAAACTTTGTTCTTTTGAAACTGCCTAGCTCTGTAACTGCTTTGTAATTACTTTCTTGACCCCTGCAGCCAGGAAAGTGTAACCAAACACACAAAGTGCTGATTGTACCATTGTACGAAGCTTTGTCCAGTGATGATCATTCATCTGCCCTTGTACCTGATGATCTCACCCTGCTGGCTAATCAGAAGAACTGCCAGGCTGGTTCTGTCTCCACTTCATACCTCCTTTGTACCTCCTGCTTGTGCATCATATAAAAGCCCTAAACCACCAGAGAGCAGGGCCTGATATTCTGGGAATAATCCTGATCAGTGCCCATCAATGTAAATAAATCTGCCTCCAAATCCTGGGGGTCGTTTTTGTATTTCTGTTTTGCCGTTGCAGAACCAAGGGGCTGTAGACTTTTTCTGATTTTTCTAGTGTCTAAAGAGAAGGCTGGTCCCAGTACAAGTCCACCAATCAGTGACTTAGGTAGCCCAGTGTCACTTTGTGTGACAGTCACCAGGTGTATGAAACTAAGAACCCATCCCATAGGAGGGAAGTGAAGCCAGATGGGTCAAGGAGCATGGTGACTTTCACAGCAGGGTCCAACTTGTGTTTTGCTTTCATGGCTACAAGTTAGAGGCCAGGATGAGGCTGAGTAGGATGGGGCCAGAGGGACTTCCTAGGGGCCTCAGCGCTCCTTGGGGCACCTGAGACCTCACCCTCGGCAGGCTTTTCTTGTTACTGTAAAAATGAAATGTGGACACTTGTCTAAATGACATGCTGAGGTAGCACATAAGGGAGAAAACTGCCAGGTGGGCATAGTGGTGTATGTCTGTAATCCCAGCACTTGGGAGGCTGAGGCAGGAGGATTGCTGTGAGTTCAGGACCAGCCTGGACTACACAGTGAGGCCTGCCTGAACTACATAGCAAGACCCTGTCTCAAAACTGCTCAGGTAGTTTCATGGAATGGGGAGAGTTCACATAACAAGACTGGTCCCTAATTCTCTATACCCAGAAGGAACTGGGAATGATGGCCTAGGTGCTAAAGGAATCTTCTCACGGGTCCCTAAGCATTCCTTGGGCACCACAGGTTGTGTTGGGAGGCAAGCCTCAGCCTCCTGCCCTACCCCCGCAGTGTTTACACTGATGATTTCAACTAATAATCATACCTAGGAATTACACAGCTGTTAACCATCCTTTGAGCAGATCTTTTTTAATGCAGAAGCACTGATTATATAAGAATGGCTAAAATGAAATACAGGTTAAAAAATTAGTTTTTAAGAACCCACCTGCAGACATGCACATTGATGAGTAAATATTTTTATTTGCCACCTGGATTTTGATCTCACACATATTTGCATGAAATAATTAAAACTCGTTTCTGCTGATCGTCTATTCAAAACTGTACGCTAGTTCAGCTGATCCCTTTCCAGTCTCCCTGTACAACCTGAGCCACGCACCGTTACAGCACCAAGAAGGAACGACTTGGTCACGTTCTGTACAATGACGTGGGCCTGGTAGGTACGTAACACACATTGGCCAGGTTCTCCCTATATCGTGGTTGTATGCCAAGATTTGGTCAAGTACAATCGTACAGGGTAGGAAGAAGACAGGAGGGTCTCATCATACAAGAAGCATGAGTACATTTCTCTACATTTGGTTGTGTTTGCTGGCTAAGCTGGTAACAGTGCATATTATCTGCCTTACAACTACTAAGTGTCAGGACCGAGAATGTGAACGTCAGAAGGAGCCTCAGATGCCAGCTCTTTCTATTTTCGGCTAGGGGTTCAGGGAAGTCAGGAGCATGGCAGACAGGCTTTGGGCTTGGGCTCAGTATGCAGTATTCATTTATCCCCACAGACAGACTCATTTTCTGATGATTAGAATAAACCTTGTAGTCTCTAAACTATTTTTTTCAGCCCGAGTTCATTTTTTTATGTTCACGTTTCCTTTGCACAATTTTTTTAGTCTAGGATGCAGTGACGATGAGGACCATTCCCACTCGAGTGTAGCACACTTACCTTTGAGCTTAGGGGTTAACTATCGTAGGGCCTCCTAAGTCATCATTTCTCTTCCACCCCCAGCATAAGGAACTACTGCTATTCACATATAATAATTACTTTAATGACTCTTGACTTATTTTTGAAAGACAACACAAAAGACAGTAATAAGGCAGAATGAAATGGTGCAGTTCTAACACACCAGTCTGGAAGGATTTCTTTTTTTGTTAGATCAAAGGTAATATAAATTATACAGAGGAATCTAACATGAGCAGACAGGCAGGGGCGCCCTTGTGCCAGGCATTTAAGGATGTGCTAGACTCCAAGAAGAGCCTCAACAAGAGTTTCTTTCTGATTTGAAATTGAAAACAATTTTCTAACATATGACCAAATAAAACAAGGCTGAACTTTATAAAGGGATGATCTACATTAGCTTTCTCACTGAACGCCCCAGACCTTATTTACTGTCAGGACATACAATTTTCCTTCTCTGTGAAAGGGATATGTCACTGATAGTGTTCCCTCGACTATCTAAACTCTAACATCTTTTCATTTAATGTTTTTGTGATTGTGTGGATGAAATCCAAGGCCTGAGGCATGCGGAGTGAATTCTCTACCACTGAGCTACATCCCTGTCTCCCACCAGCTTTAAAACTGATGGCTTCCCATGAGGGAGTTTTGCTAATTTCTCTTTTCTTTTTTGTGGTACCAGGAATTGAACTCAGGACCTTGTGCTTGCCAAGCAAGTGCTCGTGCCACTAAGCTATCTCCCCAGCCCCAACCATGAGGGGGTTTAGATTCCTGAAAACTCGAGTGAGCTATTCCTGTGGAGGAATGCAAACTATTGGCGGGCGAGGTATGGCGGAAGCACGCTGACGGAGGCCGGTAGGGGCTCAGATTTTGATGGCCATGGTCCAGAGGAGCGGGCAGTCCGTTTCCACAGTCACCACACTGGACCCGTCATAGGTGTTAGAAGTACTGATCAGGGTTCCAAAACCAAGCATGTCCTTTGCTGTAGGGGGAAGAAACGCAGGTTAGTGACAAGCAACCTTTCTCTAGTGTACAACGGCTTTGCCAACCGTTATAAAAGCCAAGCACATACTTTGACTGAAGATATATAATAGTAGAATAGAAAAAAGAAATAGTATAGAAAAAAAGTTAATAATAAATAAATAGTATAGAAAAAATAAATAGTATAGAAAAAAGTTCTATAGCTGGCTACAATTACTTTTCCTAGTAATTGTTACATCATTTTATATATATATTTATATTTAATACTAAATTTCATTTAAAAATGTCTTTCATTTTTCTTTGCTCACTGTAAAACCAAAACCCATGGCTATAATGTGCAGTACACTTCTTTGCCTGCCTGGGTACAGTTTTATTTTTTAATGTTGATTCAAAATGGGCATTTTTAATAAGTTCTTACACCCTGTGAAGGTACAATTTTAGCTTCAAGTACCAGTGATGGGGGATAGAAAGGTAACCACCTAAAAAAAAAAAGACACAGGACTCTGACCATTTTTTTTTCTCATACAGAAAAGCCACAGTGTATATGACTTATGTTATCAAACTGGACTCAGAGGTGACCTCAGACTTCAGGTACATGTGAAATTGAAGGAGTCACATAATAAATGCAGCTGTAGCAAGAGGGCAAGAAATGCAATAGCCTTTCACTTTGATAATTAAGTACTTTAACAGTTCTGTTCTGTTTCTGTATTTGTAAGGTTCCTAGAGGCACACGTAAACATACACCTGCGTGTTCCAACAAGTCTGACACGCCCGGCCCCACTGCAGGTTTCACTTCCCCGTCCTTTGCTCACACAGAAGCAGTTCCCTTCCCCAGTGGGACTCCGGACCGCCCTACGAGCACCCCTTGCTACTTGATGTCAATGTCTTCGGTAAAATTTGAAGAGAAAAATAAATGTCAAAGAGTCCAAACCGTCCAAGCCAAAGAATCACCTTTTTCCTCAAACAAAAGCAGCGTATGAAGCTCCACCGCGTAGGGGAAGATACTATAACGCCCACTTCCCGCTAGAGGGCGCCTGCTGTCTTTCTGAGGAAATCTTGAAAAGGCAACTTAGAAATTCAGCAACGGTTCCAGGATAATGAATGATCAATATTATCAATGATTTATTTATTAACATATAAGTTGTTTTCTAGTTGTCAACATCTTTACTAAGGCAAGCACCCAGTTATGGAGTAGAACTCTACAGGGACACAAAGGGAGCTGCATGTGAATATTTCCCTAACATGTAATTCAGTGTAAGAAGGTCCTACTTTGTACATAACACGTGACTTTTAAGGTGAAGTTTCTAAACAGAGGTGATGTACACATCAGTGTTTACTGACCTAGACACTATTTCATGGATGGACGGATAGGGTGGAAGGTGTGGCAGGATTCACAACAAGGGCAACTGGTGTCTGTGGGCGGTAGGAGAAGACTTGACCCCTCTGGATGGTGGCCTTGCCTAGCATCTGGCGTCCACCAACTAGCTTGAGACCATCCCAGGCCTACAGGTACAAGTCTGGCCCATCAGCCTAGAGGGAAGGAGGTGCGGAGGATTCCAAATATTTATACCATTTAATCAGCAAGGCAATGGAGGGGCCGGAGTAGGCCTGTCAACTTTAAAGTAAAGACTTCCTAGCGCAGACCCTTCTGAGTTTGATGGAATGCCATTTTGTTAAATTAAAATTCTAGTTTCTATTTGGGGTCAAAATACAAAATCGTAACATTGTTTCTCTATAGTTGTGTATAAATTCCTCTCTGATTTTCTGAAGGCAGACCATGGCTTCTAGATCATCAGGAGTAGATACCCGTGTTACACAGGTCGGTTATTTCAGGACACTGAGCATCCTGATTCTCAAATGTGGAAAGAATTGAACTGGTTGTATTTAATTAGGGCACAGAGAGATGGAATATTTTCTTTGTAGTAAACACTTCTTTCAGTTAAGCAAGACAGCTACTAGCCGGAATTAAATATTGTGTTTTTATTTTGAAATATTTAAAGTTCCACCAATCCTGGTTACCAGCTACCACAAAGAACAGTAATATGTTTCATAATCTTTAGTTTTATAGAAAGAACAAGAAAAACCAAAAACTGAAACAAGGTGAAACACAAAATCATAAACTGCAATTTACTATGTCATTCCAATTATTTGGGAATATATTTTCATGCCAAAACATCAGAGTTTTAGATAAAACATTAGTTTCTGTTGTAGCCAAAACATTTTTGATGGTAATATTTGGGATTATCACTGAGCTCCCCTTATCATAAATACCTGAGAATAAACTCTGAAATAAAGTACTGGCTGGGTATCCATATCTGAGATGAAGAACAAAAGGAGTGTTTTGGATTTCAGATTCTGGAATATTTGCGTGCATATGCGTATAATTAGATATTATGGTGATAACACCCAAGTGTAAACATAAAACTTTATGTCTCACATGCATTATGTACACATGGGCTAAGAGTAATTTTAGACAGTATTTTTAACCACCTTGCACTGTGTGTGCTGTCTGTCACATGAGGTCAGGTATGGAATTTTCCACACTTGTGGAACTATCACATTGGCACTTAACGAGTTCTAGATTTTGGAGCAATTTGCATTTTCAGATTAGAGATGCTTACCATAATGCTTATGTAAAACCAGCAGAGAAATAGCTTTGTACATAAGGGAGGAAAAAACCCAAATTACTTCTTTACTTTTTTACCCTAGAGGACATGTCCAAAACATTGGTTTGCTGAACTACAGAAAATTTAGACTCAGCTATTTCCCCTTCTCGTTTGGGGCAAGTACGGTAACCATTTCTGTTCTAGGACAGTCTTTGACATCAAGTCCTGTTTTTAATAAAAGGAAAGAATGAAAGAATTATGGATATTTGTGTAACGTTATAAGCAACCGTACGTGTGACAACTTGCCCGCTCTGTGTGAATGTAAAAGTTGTGTCTCCTCTATCCATTCCAGGCCATTGTCATCAATTGTGCTGAAGACAAGTTTTCTTGTAGTCATAGCAATAAAAATATTGGCCGGTGAGGATTGCTTCGTGTAAGAGGCAGCATATTAGGGGACCCAGAAGAATACTCTGACTTTTGGGTTTTCCTACTTTACAGAAAGCGCACAGCCTAAAAATATAAGAAACATTAACATAGATGCTCCAGTTTTCATCTCTTCTCTCAAACTTTCCCCAAGGTGAGGATGAAAGTGAGGCCCTTATTATCATCTGTTTTCAGTGATGTCCAGCTAGCTTTTCTTTTTTCTTTTCTTTTTTTTTTTGTTTTTCTCCGGTACCAGGAACCGAACTCACGACCTTGCGCTTGCCAGGCAGGCGCTTTTGCCGCTGAGCTAAATCCCCAGCCCCTCCAGCTAGCTTTTCTCCGCAGCCTGGCAGAGTGCGACAAGCAGAAGCTGGCAAACTGGTGGGAACCCATTTCCACCTCTTCCTGTGTCAGCTGGGGGTGAGGAGGGCCGTTTGCCCCGGCTCCCTGCTCATTGTATTGAATATGGGCTGCAGCTCTCCTAACTAAGCTGGTGTGAGGTGTGAGCTTGCTCAGGAGACCCCTGGTGCCTTAAGCACTGGAAAGCAGGAGCGTGAAGCACTGGTTTGTTTTTGCCCTGCACACTGCTCTGCTGGGTGCTTTTCCTGAGAAAGCGACGCTCTGCCGATACATGAATCCCACCATGACGAGGTAAGGCAGATGCAGCTTCAAACAATGGTTCTGCCATTCACTAGCTTGGTTATTGAAACGCTGGCCTCAGTTTCCTCAACCATAACATGCTGAGTTCCAGCCCCTACTTCACGGAGAAGCTGGCTAATTTACAGGGTCAAAAATTTTAATACATAGAAGCCCTCAAGCAATTTTCATCCTCTGTTTTCTCTTCTTCTGATGATTAAAATAGATGAGGGTTGTTTTGAAATGAAAAAAAGACAATGATTTAACATGCCTTAATTAAAATGATTCGTGTACAGCCAGACGAGAGGTAGCATTTGCCAAGCTAGCTTTTGTGAAATACTTAAGAACCATGCCAGGGGCCATACTGGCCAAGGTATGCATATGTGTTCATTGTGCTTTAGATACAGTTGGGCTCCATATCTGTGGAGATTCAACCCTTCATGGGTTGAAAGTACTTTTTAAAAATAGTCTGTACTGAACATATATGGACCGCTTTGTCCTGTCATTATTCCCGAACAATACCTTGTAATAACTGCTCACACAGCATTTACATAGCATTGCTTATTGTAAGTAATTAGGGATTATTTAAAGTATAGGGGAGGATGTGCATAGCTCATGTGCAATCCTGTGCCATTTTACACAAGAGACTCAAGCATGCAGACTTCGGTAACGGAGATTCTGGGGCCAACCGCGCGCAGACACCAAGGGGTGACTATCTGTTAAGGCTTGATTGTGACTTGGGCACGAAGGGTACAAGGATGAGCGTCTCTGCCTTCAAGGTTCTCATATTTTAGCACAAAAGCAGCTCCACAGAAATCAAACTTGGAGTCAGAACAGAAGCATGGGGCAGACCAAGGAGTATGGGCATGGCTTTCTGCCTGGCGGCCAGGATGGTGGCATCTTCAGGTGGAAAGAAAACTCCTTTTGTGATGGAGGCGGCAGGCTATCCTACAGGTCCAGGCTCTCCCCGCACAAGTTTCTGTGGCTTGACACTGGTTCTTCCACAAACATAGCTAATTAAAATTCCAAAACAGGCAATGAAAACACTTCTAAAATGGAAAAAAAAAAAAAAACAAAAAACTGAGTGTAAAGAAAGAGGGCCTGAACAAGCTTTGCCTGGGAGATGCTGTTCGAGGTTATAGCTGAGACGGGCGTCTTACTCCTGCAAGACATTTTCTGAGTCCTCGCAGTCTATTAGGTGCTCAAGGCAGGCCAAGCTTTCTGCTGAAATTTATAGGTGAGGAAACGAAGCTCAGACAGGTGACATTCACAGACCACGATGATGATAGAAGCTATCTGATGCTAACATGTTACTAAGGGAGGCTGAGGCCAATCT